GTTTGCTTCACTGTGCCTGCTAAGGAGACCGGCTTTCAGGGTTTGAAAACAGACTTTTAAGTGTCGGATGCGCAGAAGTTGCAGGTGTGTTTTGTACGTTGAGCAAAGCGTTCAGTCCTAGTGCTGGGACCTGTAGAGAGGGTATTGATGTGAGGTTGGGTTGGAGGAATACTTGACGGTTTACGAAAGTAGGTGTCGGCAGTAGCATGTTTTCGCATCCCCACCCTGCTGTATGCAGCATGTAAGGCGACCCGGCTGATGTGGCATGAGGGTGTTTTTAGTTGTAACTGTCGTGGTTATGCCTGAACTGAGGAGTTGCCGGGGCGCCAAGACCTAGACAGGAGGACGACTAGGGTTCTCAGCTAAAGCCAAAGCTTGATCGATTGTTTGGCGGAGGTTCCATGTGCATTACCATTTTCATAGAATAAGTTGTCACATAGGTTCCAAACCCAAACATGGAGGGTTAGGAGGCAGTGTAGGTCGGACATCTAATCATTGACCAGTCTAGTGTGAAAGACTCTTTGGATGTCGCACTAGCGCCCCTCGGTATGGCTCTGTGGGTCACGGAGGAACACAAACCGTCGCACCATGGTAAGATCCTAACTCTGTGACAGGCGACACTTCGTGCACGGTGGCTTCTGGTGAGCTCTCCTTATCCCCCCACGAGTGTGAGAGTACGAAGACCTTTTATAATTCGCATACATTTGGGACCCCCCACGAGTGTGAGAGTACGAAGAACCTTTTATATTCGCATACATTTGGGACATTCCTTGCTCGGCAAGAAAACAAACTGATCGGCTGAATCGAGCGCGTCTTGGGGGTACAGAGATACCTAAATTGTGGATCGTTTATGCTTTTGGGGCTCTTCTGGCGCCTTGTGACGTGTAGTCAGTGCAAGCAGGAATCCTGCTTGCTGCTCTCCAGTCAATGCCTCACCATCCACCATAAGGTGACGAATGGCAAGCGATGTCAATAATCTAGTTGCGATTAGAATGAAGCTTATCCCTTTTCGATCGCTAAACTCGCAACGAGCTTTTTTGGAAGTGAGCAATACCACTGGTTTTACCTGTTTTCTGGAATAGTCACCTTTCCCCAGATGATGGCAAGTAGATCAGACTGGTTTGATCCCCATCCTTCAACAATGCATGTAGGAGGTCGTCTGGACCAGGAGCTCGGCCGCGCTTAAGAAAACATATGCAGTCATAAAACTCTGAGACCTTAGGGGGTACAGGTTCGCCACCCACTGTTGTACATCAGTTGTAGGGTTCAAGTTAGTGGCAGTCGGTTGATCCAATTATTGCTGAAAGTGCTGGGCCTAACGGTCTCCTAATCAAAATGATGTTACTTTTTTATATTTTTTATTGTTTCGCTTACCGGCCTCTCGGGTACCGGTCGCATGGATTAACTGGAGTAGGCTTCGGACATCTTCAGCTTTCCGGGCCCCTTCCACTTCCTTAGCCTTCCGTGTTCACCAAGCTTCATAGTTGGTGCGCACGCCTCCATTCAACCTCCAGTCATCTGCATGACTGTGCGTCTCCAGTAGCTTTCTAGCCAGATCAGCTCGGTACTCTTCAGCTACTGAAACTTGTCAAAGTTGATGTGCTCTCCTTTGGTACGCGTAATGGTGACGGAAAACCAAGTGATAGGTTAACCCGCACAATAGCATGATCAGAATCAAGCTTTGTATACTAGAAAGAGTGATTATCTTTAACTGACACTCCATCGGTAACTGATAGCTACGTGGTCTTACTGGGTCCACAAATGTTTTGTGTTTGGGGGTCTCCAAGTAACTCGATGTGGGCGTTTCTGTTGGAAGTCTCTACTGGCCAGAAACAGACGATGATCTTCGCATAGCTGAGGAAGTTGATCCCCGTTATCCGTATGCTTAGCGTTGACTCCAAATTTACTGCCTAACTGTGCTTCTTCCGGACCTAGTCATCCAACTTGGGCCTTCATATCATCCTTCTTGCCGACCGAAACAGTCGTGACAGATCTTGATAAAACTCGTCCTTCTCAGTCTCAGAACTGCAGTCTATTGGGGCGTATGCTTATGCGACAAATAAACACCATTTACCGCGTCGACCTGAGTTAATCTTATTTGAGCCAAACAACCCTACCGCGCGAAGTCGACTGTTTACTGGGATCCAGTCCAGTAAGGCGCTCTTAGCCCTGGGACTGAGTGCAACCGCACACCGTAGATACCACGAGCCATTGCATGAGAATCACCAGATAACCGAAGGGTGGAATGTGGAACATTTGAGGTAGTCCTAAGCGGCTTGAGGAGCACGATCGAAGTGGTGTCTTTCTTGTGTAAGGAAGGCAAGGTTTCAGCAAGGGATGACTGTTGTCCAATTCGACCCCCACGAGTGTGAGAGTACGAAGAACCTTTTATATTCGCATACATTTGGGACATTCCTTGCTCGGCAAGAAAACAAACTGATCGGCTGAATCGAGCGCGTCTTGGGGGTACAGAGATACCTAAATTGTGGATCGTTTATGCTTTTGGGGATCTTCTGGCGCCTTGTGACGTGTAGTCAGTGCAAGCAGGAATCCTGCTTGCTGCTCTCCAGTCAATGCCTCACCATCCACCATAAGGTGACGAATGGCAAGCGATGTCAATAATCTAGTTGCGATTAGAATGAAGCTTATCCCTTTTCGATCGCTAAACTCGCAACGAGCTTTTTTGGAAGTGAGCAATACCACTGGTTTTACCTGTTTTCTGGAATAGTCACCTTTCCCCAGATGATGGCAAGTAGATCAGACTGGTTTGATCCCCATCCTTCAACAATGCATGTAGGAGGTCGTCTGGACCAGGAGCTCGGCCGCGCTTAAGAAAACATATGCAGTCATAAAACTCTGAGACCTTAGGGGTTACAGGTTCGCCACTCACTGTTGTACATCAGTTGTAGGGTTCAAGTTAGTGGCAGTCGGTTGATCCAATTATTGCTGAAAGTGCTGGGCCTAACGGTCTCCTAATCAAAATGATGTTACTTTTTTATATTTTTTATTGTTTCGCTTACCGGCCTCTCGGGTACCGGTCGCATGGATTAACTGGAGTAGGCTTCGGACATCTTCAGCTTTCCGGGCCCCTTCCACTTCCTTAACCTTCCGTGTCCACCAAGCTTCATAGTTGGTGCGCACGCCTCCATTCAACCTCCAGTCATCTGCATGACTGTGCGTCTCCAGTAGCTTTCTAGCCAGATCAGCTCGGTACTCTTCAGCTACTGAAACTTGTCAAAGTTGATGTGCTCTCCTTTGGTACGCGTAATGGTGACGGAAAACCAAGTGATAGGTTAACCCGCACAATAGCATGATCAGAATCAAGCTTTGTATACTAGAAAGAGTGATTATCTTTAACTGACACTCCATCGGTAACTGATAGCTACGTGGTCTTACTGGGTCCACAAATGTTTTGTGTTTGGGGGTCTCCAAGTAACTCGATGTGGGCGTTTCTGTTGGAAGTCTCTACTGGCCAGAAACAGACGATGATCTTCGCATAGCTGAGGAAGTTGATCCCCGTTATCCGTATGCTCAGCGTTGACTCCAAATTTACTGCCTAACTGTGCTTCTTCCGGACCTAGTCATCCAACTTGGGCATTCATATCATCCTTCTTTCTTGCCGACCGAAACAGTCGTGACAGATCTTGATAAAACTCGTCCTTCTCAGTCTCAGAACTGCAGTCTATTGGGGCGTATGCTTATGCGACAAATAAACACCATTTACCGCGTCGACCTGAGTTAATCTTATTTGAGCCAAACAACCCTACCGCGCGAAGTCGACTGTTTACTGGGATCCAGTCCAGTAAGGCGCTCTTAGCCCTGGGACTGAGTGCAACCGCACACCGTAGATACCACGAGCCATTGCATGAGAATCACCAGATAACCGAAGGGTGGAATGTGGAACATTTGAGGTAGTCCTAAGCGGCTTGAGGAGCACGATCGAAGTGGTGTCTTTCTTGTGTAAGGAAGGCAAGGTTTCAGCAAGGGATGACTGTTGTCCAATTCGACATAGAATACGGGTGTTAGAGGCTGCAACGCGGATCAGATGTTTTGAGGTTAGTAGGTGGTTATTTATGTTTATTTTTCCTTGCGAAGGTTTAGACACGGAATAGTGGATATGGGAATAGCAGATGGGTTGATTGCACTGCGTTGTACGATGGGTTGGGAGGAAGTGGGAGAAGACTGGTGAGCGAAGAACTGAAGGGGCAAATGATACTTCCCGGTTGCCAAGGCAGAAGAAGGGGGTTTGGCTGAGGTACTCCACCTTGAGCCTTTGGCTCAAACTTCCGACGCATAAGGCAGTGGGAGGATGAAGGGTTTTATTCGGATACCCTGCCTCTAGCCCATAACTCAAATTTCTGACGCGCGAGGCAGCGGACACAGTGGGGTTTTCCTGGGAGACCCTTCCCGTAGCCAACAGCTCAATAGTCTTACACACTTGGCTGTAAGGGGCCGGCCTGGCCAGCGGGCGCAGGAAGTAAGGCAATACTGTCTCACTTTTAATGCGGCTACGCACAGCAGGTGCCTTTTGATTCGCACCAAGCTTTTTGGTTTTCAAAGTATTTTGACCGTATTGAATAATGCGCCGACGGTCACGGTCAACCGTTTGGCGATCGAAATTTGCAGTTTTTAGGGCTGGTCTTTCCTAACCAGTCCTTCTTCGAGAGAATACATCATCGCGGCTCTCATGAATATGGACATGCTTGGCCCCCGGGGGAAACGCTATACTACCTTCACACCTATATCGGAGGACAGTACGAATTTACCTCCATACTGTCCCATAATACGATTCCTTGCGGTACGGGGACTCACTGTTCTTCATCAAGCTGATCCCCGTTGGCCTTCCTGGTATGGTCGAACCTTTGGGAACTGAGTTCTCGCTTGTATAGCCGACAGGATCTTTGCAGCACACAGGCCCGACCATCGCCACGAGGTGACAGCTTTAGTTCGGGGATGTATGCTTTGAATGAATGTGATCGGATTATATCTTCTTTTTTTCAGCCTTGGTAGGATGTGATGTTTCTTCGGAGTATGATACCACCTTATTTTGTGAGACTAAAAAGTCTATCTTCGGGCCTCCGCTGGGCCGGTTTTTCTTCCTCACAAGGGGATTTGAGGCAACCCCTAAGGCTCAGTCTCTCCAGGAAACAGAACCCTGTCGATCACCCTCGCACCGTGCATCCTACTTTTGGACCTGTGGATCCCGTATCGAATATACGGCGACTTCAGTTTGCCTCAGGCGGTGCTCGGACGTCGCTTCAACAGAAATATTACTACTTTTATCAGGACACTTGGGACTGGCTTGATGCATATTGGACTTCACACAACAAATTATACGCGGAGGTCAGTGTTATTTTGACTTGGTTAATCTGCTTTTCTAGCTAGACTTTTACCTACATGTTTTCGTCCGACTTGTCATTTTGTCTGAATTTCCGAACCATTCTAACAGTTCGTTTCTGGGTGAAATCATATCACTAATTCGCAAATACCTATTCTATCCGAACAATGTTTATCTTATCTAATCTTGCTGCGAACCATATGTCGAACAAACAACCCGGACCTTAACTAAATAATCATTTCAATCATGAATGCTTTTCATGTTGTACTTGTTGTCTGTAAGAGCATTTCCTGATGACCGTCAGCTTTTTCAACCAAGGGCGAGCAAGTTATACCTGAAGCTGAGAGCACGGTCTCCTGACATTATTCTATCCATTATTACAGTTACGTGAAGAAAGCTCGTCGTCTTTCAAACCGAACGGTTGTTGGAGCATCTACGGGCCTAACGATGTGACAAAGTTATGTGAGATTTCCAAAGCGCTCTGATCAGGGAATACGCCAAAATACAAAGTACTTCCCAGTGCTTTTAACTTTCCATATAGTTTGGATGTGCATCCATTCGAACAGTGCATGGGCTTTTGTGGGCACCGGCAATGCAACCTAGTTAACCTCTTAAGGGATTCATGAGGTGTTATCTCGCTATCTATTTTGGAAAACCCTAAAACTGTTGTCATTTCGTGCTGACAAGTTGCAGCCTGGGGTCTAATTCTGGCTGTGTTCTAAAACACGCAGCTATTCGAACCCAAGCATCTACTTCGCATGCTAGACGTAGGATAGAAGAAAGCTCTGCGTCCCTTGATTACTTGATGAGGGGTCTCGCGACCCATTACCTTTAGTGCATGAGCATCCCTTTGGTTTGCATCTTCCTTGGGCTAAAAAATTGTAAAAGCCAAAAGACCCTACATTGTTACGTGGTTTGAAATTGATAAAGCATAATTGTTAAGTTTTACAAATCGCCCCACAACGATGATTCATCTGTTGGTTTCAAGGACTTTTCGTTTGGTTGGATAATTTGATAGAGTTCTAGCGGGACCGAATTTTTACCAGTAGCACTTTGATATGTTAGGTAAAGTTGTTTAGTGTTTCTAACGATGCTGTTTAGCTCGTGTTGAGTACAAAGTCTTACCTTGTTATCACAAGCCCGGAAAATCTTCGTTTTAATGACGAATTGATTAAATCACTCTTGCTACTTATGTGTTGCCTTCGACAAGGAAATTCAACTTTTGAGACAATATGAGGAAAACGCCTGTGCAAGCGCTGGTTATTGAAAGTTGTTGAATTCCCTATTGAGCGATCAAAATGTTATCTACTTTTCGCACCGACCGTTGGATGTGTTACAACGTCTGCTTGTTCAGCCATGAGAAGAACAGTTCTTATTGTCCCTAGTCCAAACCAAATTCCATCTTGGTATCGATCACCGTGTCCACTGACGGTGTTTCCGAGATATGTGGGTATTTTATAGATGTAGACTATTAACAAGTTGTCACCTATAGATTGAATTTCCTTCGATTTCGGAAGAGATTCGTGTATACTCTGTTCTTGTGTTACCGGATCCCCAATAACCGGAATATTGTTCTCCAACTTTTGTCCGCCCAGCCACTTTCTACAAAGCATTCAAGCAGTGGTTTCCCTTACATTAGTGTGGGAAGAGCTGCTCACACCAGATACTTTTATCCTCTTCACAATCGTCAATCCACCGTCCATAACATCAGTGTGTGATTGGGTGTGATATCGGTTTTCGCCTCGTTATATTGGTTTCTACCTGGCTTGCGTGTATGTTCCACATTCATCTTTGTTTTTAGTGATTGAATCTCTCAAGAGAATGCAGTGCATTTCGACACTGATTACGCCATACCAACACTTTCATTTGAACACTATTGGGTCATTTCCGAAGTCCTTTCAATGAGGATTTGAACGCACGCCCTCCCAACTAATAGTTGAAGACTGTTTGGCCACAAGCTGACTTTCAGAAATATGATTCACTCGCAGTTAGACTGAGTATAGTGCTTCCCATCCCTCAGTCACATAATTCACATCACGCAGTCTTGTGTTGACTAGATTCTTGAGTGATGGCTTCTCAGGTGAAAGGTTCACTCGTCTTGTGAATTATTCTCTCATTCGAGATACTTAAAACTTGTTTGTAATTCTTGAATGTTTTAAGTTTCAATTGAAGCTTCGCCTACAAGGGAACTAGTCTTTGCTGAAACGCCGAAAAGCACCTCATCCTCATTGGGCAACAGCTATACTGTGGTTCTCGGTTTTTCACATACATAACAAAACTTCGATTCGAATTCTGACTTCACTCACTGGAATTTGAATGCTTTCTGTTTGTTTTATATCCTGTGTCTGGTACCAATTGTCAGAGGCCGGATGTATAAAACTCTCACCACTTGTCACCTTGTAATTAAATTTTCCTAACCACCGTAGTTATTTCAGACATATCATTGATGCATTTTCAGGAGAAAGCCAAATTTCTAGGGATTAACGATGAGAACGGCTCAGTTTCTGAATTCAACCGTCGCTTTTTGATCGAAAACCAACCCTTGCAACTGCGTTTCAACCTGTAAGTCTTTGTCCTAACTTCGATAGTCACGATCTGGTCAGTTTTTCCTATTAGGCACGTGTATTGAGAAAGCAACCAGTATCCCAACTCTTAGGGCTGGAGTGCCGAACCACGTGAAGATTCTATAAGGGGGTAGCTTCTCGGACAACAATGTGGAATGCCAAGCACCTGACTCTTCTAGCCTACAACGTGTCCAAATAGGGATTATGACTGGCAGAAGCCCGTACTATCCCCACTTAGGGTAGAGATGCTTTTGCATCACCAGGGGTGCAGAGTCATACATTGGAAGTCTGTTCCTTTGTATTAATTGCGTCCTGAGATATTCTTGTCCTTTCCTCTGACAGGCGGCATATATCAATGCCGGGGAATAACCCAACGTATGAGCAGCAGCCGCTTGTTGTTCTGCGTGCCAAGTGAGCGGACATTAAAGGTAGACGGGCTTTCGGGGTTTACGAATGGACTTTGAAGCGCTTATGGTTGTTGGTGAAGACACAGAAGCTGCAGCTGGGCGTGATGCATGGTTATCGGTCCTATTGCTGGGACCTGCAGAGGAAGTTTTCAAACTCGGGTGAGGTAGGATGAAAGAGGGAACAAGTGAAAGTGTATGAAGGTAGGCGTCGCTCGCCCCCCTTACTCCATGCAGCCAGCTAGGCGACTCGGCTGGCGGTGGCCGACGTGGCTTGAGGGTATTGTTAGTTATAAGTGTTATGGTTTTATGTGGGCTGGGATGGTGTCAGAGTGCCTACGCCTAAACAAGAGAACGATTGTGATCCTCAAATAAAGCAATTGGCTCAAAAGCCCAACCTCAAGACGGTGGTTGGCTGCCGGCATACTGCTACGCCAGTACAAGTTTTTTTAAGGAAATAGCCGCCTAGCTTGTTCAAACCGCCAACCTGGAGTCAGTGTCAGGAGACAGTTCCTCTGACTATTTACTAAACAAGCATATGCGTTAAGTTCTGCTTCCGTCAATTTGAAACCCTTCAGTACAGCTGAACGGGTCATACAGGTCCACAAACCACCATACCGCAATAGTCCTTTGTAGCAGCTTTAGTGGCTTATGCATTTCACAACAAATGTGGTCAAATATTCGTCATAACTGAAGACTTATCGGCTTTTTATCTCAACATGAAGTGGTCAGGTTCGCCATTCCCCCTCGGTCAGCGCGAACCATCCGTAGAATTGCTTTTTAAACCGCTCGCCGCTTTTAATTAACTTTGTTTTTCAATTTTAATTAATTTTTATTGTGGCAGCACCAATGAGCGCATAACATGATTTCGCCATTCATGTTTGCTTTATTGTTTCTGTGAGCCCATGGAACCCAATCTCATAATAATGCGTTACTTTCCTGTCTATTTCAGACAATGGTATCGACGGATCGCATATATAACTTATCTCGGAATCCTGGTTGAACTGCAGTGCATATTCACTCGGTTGTGGACAACGCTGACGGGGAAAAAGCATCATTGACCATTGCCTTAGGACCGCGTGGTATGCTTTTCTCGCTCTCTATCCGATCTTGTTCTGTTGCCCATGGTTAATTGAGCATCGTATCCTACGGTCGTATTATCTGGTTTAACCTATCCAGTTAGACAGTTACAATAAACTCGTCACCTATCTTTCGTGTGTGTTCGCTGAAAATAGTTGATTTCCACTAATTCCACCGAGCTATTTCAATCCAATCAGATATTCTTATAATCTGTATGCGTGTACCTTCAGTCCATTCCAGTTAGTTTGGGGAAATAATGGTGGAATGCCACAGCAGGGCGCAAAATGCTTCTCTCCTGAAACGGTATTATGTTAACCGCACTTGAAATCTTTCGAATGTTTTCGAATGCCTTGCTTTATGTGGGATAATATCAATTCCAATCCTTTCCCGTTTGGGTTTTGCCACCGGTACCAATACCCTTCATTATTGACGCTTAATCAAACTAGACGGATATCTACCACTCCGAAGTTTGTTCTTTCCTTCTATTTGGGCCTCTGTCCGATCAACGTCTTCTGTGCACCGGATCCTGACTCGACTGAACATGGATGAGGCCATACTGGCGAATACCACATTCGGATGGGCAGAAAAAATAGCCCCATTGTCAGTTGGCTTCTGATACATTGGTTTTCAGTTTCTCCCCCACCTTATGTGTCATACAGTCCAAGAAGAGTAGTGTACCCGAAGTTGTCATTCAACTCTAATCTAGTGTGCTAATCGGAAAAGATATTGCCAATGGGATTTGCGTCTCCCTTAAAACCTTGCTCATTTGGCATTTCGCTCACTGGGCCTGCTGAAGCTTTTATGTCAAAAGCAAAACGTTACCCAGTTGCGAACTGTTAGTTTTTTGCCAAGCCCTTCGGAAACGATAATTTTTTTTCAATCAGTTCCAAGCTTTTTCCAGTTGAAGGAAAATAGTCTGACCTTCATTTTCCGGATTTGCCTTGCTGTCATACTTGTGTGGTTCTCTCAAAGTTTGTGAATGCTGCCTTCGTTAAGTGCCGAGAATCGCTGGTGCACTAAGTTTTCATAATACGCAGTCTTTGTGTGGCGTATATTGAAGTTCCCTGAAACGAATCATGTGGGTCACAATCGGCCCACCTACCGTTGGTTTTTGGGCATCCCATCCGCTATGAGTTGAGCCACCTTTGAATCTGATGGGTTTTATGAGGCAGCGTGTGTACTGTGGTGAGATGAGGTCTCTGCCAAATCGAACTCGAAATCCCACTAAAATCATGTGACTTTGTTAGTTTTGGATGCTGTTGCAGCCTAGAATACTTTCAGAATACCTCCGCATCCGTTAATTCCGATTACAAGCTCTGATATGTTCGTCTGAAAGTTTTACGTAATTCTCACGTTACACGTGGCAACGTAGTGCACAATGATCGGGGTTTTACCATCAAAATCGTGCATAATAATAAAAGCATTACCTGAACAATTCTGCACCTTTCCATAGATAACTGTGGATGCGTTAGACAAACAGATTTTCGCCTACTGGGAACTGCCCGCCTTAACGCACCTGGTGTCTCTACCACTCTTGCACGCCGCCTTGAGATCGTGCGCAATACGTGATGATGATCGTTCAGCTGTAACACTCTTCCGGTGTCTAGTTAGCATGCCATCCAAAGGCTAAGATACTGCCAGGTTGCCCACGCGTAGATAAGAAATTCGGGTCGTCAGTTTTCATAATTTATCATCAGATCCACTCTGTCCGGGGCATCGGTGATCTTAAGCGTCGCAGCTGTAGTATCTTTTACCGCGTAGTTGCATACTTTGAGCTCGAGAAGGCTGTCGCGTTTGTGTATTTTCTCATTCTTGTCGTGTTTTATCTTCTTATCTGTGATGTTGGTTATATTCTGCTGACGTCAATCTTACGCATCATTTTTTTCAGCTACACACCACCGATGATTTCATTTGGCTGTTCAATGCAGAGTACCGGCTTTCTTCGCATGTTCGGTCCTACTTTGTACATGTTGCTGTTGATCTTTCCCACAAATATATGGCTGATGCTAATTAATGTATTGTTTTCTGATCTGCTATACAGTTTCACTATGAACCAGTATGTATTATTGAGGCGTGGTTGTTCTGCTCAGATTCCTTAAGCATGGAGGTATAAGAGGAATTTGGTCGTTAGGCTGCGACGTTTCTCGGACACATCATTATCATGCGATTCACAGGACGTGCTAATGTCACAAGACTGCCAGGTTGCCTATGCGTAGGCAGGAAATTGAAGTGCAGATTGACAGGAAGTCGCGCCTCAGCGCCTGAATCCCCTCAAGTTAGGCTCTAGCTCTCCCGCATTAAATGAGGCATCGTTGACAACATTGTTGTTACTTTCCACGTCGAGGATGCTTATTGGGTGAGATCGGGTCCGGTGAGTACCAGCTGGTTTACCAAATGTCCCAACGACGATTGTAAACGACTGATATTGTGTTTTCCAGCTTGAAATAGCTCAGTGGCTAGGGAGTGACATCAGTGGCCCGAAGTTCTGTGCTTTTAACCGAAACCCATCTTTCTGATTGCGCTCCGACCCTCTCCCATCGAATCGAACCGCAGCTGTGCGTCGGAACATTGTCATAGCTGATTGATTATCACATTATCTTTCCAACAGCCTGATGCTACTAAGATACAATTAGTTGTTTGCCTCAGTGACGACTCCTTGAACTCGTTGGTGACATTGTGCATCTCTCGTTCGTCATATAATCGTGATCATTATTTACTGCCGATTTGTCAGCCGGAGTCTCACGAAACTCCTCTATCATGAATGTTTTGTGGGCTGACAAGCGGCTGTGGTCGCATAATATTCTTCACTACTGCAAGTTTAATGTAACTTAGAAAACATGCGCATCCAGTCAACCACTACGGTCACAAGCTAGTTCACTGATGGAATGACGAACGGACACGCACACGCCCGAACTCTCACACATCCACTCGGCTACTATATCCACAATGACTGTAATTCAACAAGTAAACGACGGAACATCTGCCCCTTATATATATATATATATATATATATATATATAT